GTGTTTACTGCGGTGAAATTATAAGTTTCGTTTTATGTCTTTCACAAGACTGATTCATTAACGATCTGCTGATAAAAACTTTGTCGGTTGCAAAATTTGGAGAAATAAAACTCAAGACGTAGATGATTTGCATAGAAAAACATAAGCAATGTTTAGCAAACTTACAAAGTGAAGGATGCATCATCCGGCAAAAAGTATATTAAATTATGAGATCTCAAAAAGTAGCCTATTCTTTCGAAAATTGTCTTCATATGGGCTTGAGGCTCCCAATCTTACTGTTGCTTGGTAACCTGACATATCATCTGACATGTTCCAGCAAAATTAAAAGACATTAAAAAATTGGGATGTGGACCAAATAATAAAACAAACAAAAAAAAAAAACACAAACACACAAAAAATGAATTTAGCAAGTTTTAACTGTAGAATTTGCTAATCTGATAAGATGAGTACGAGTTAAGAAAAAAAGTTGTTTACCATCATCACGTAGTGATATAAAACAATCCTCCACGTAGAGTTTCATTATTAAATAATTGTCAATGCACAAAGAAGCGAGGAATATCTATAGCCGTTCAAAGGTCTTTTCAAAATTATTTATGCAATATCTAAACCTTTTATCTTTTAAACAAGTTGAGTTTTTGTGGTAGATATTATTTTATAAACCAGATTTCGGTTTGGCAATGTATGCCACTCTCTCTATGGGCAATCCTCTCGAATTCCCGTCAAAAGAAAGTTTTCCTTTTTAGTTTGGTTGTTCTCCAATCCTACTTTTTCGTGTCTCTGCAAGCTAAAATTGATTTCTGGCAAGACCACCCGTGTGGACAGCGATCTAAAGTGTCGAGCGCGCTCATGAAATTCTCTCTTGCTACAAGTTAAAAGATGCACTTAGTCATTTCACAGACAAAATATGGAAACTTCACTTGGAATGAGGGGAAAACCTTTTCTTCGAATTTAATTTGCATATCAAAAACTCACTTAATTGTAGGAAAGAATACTTAAAACGCAGGTGCAAATCAGGCTAAATATAACTCAGTGCGAATGACACTTAACAAAAGGGTCTACCTCATCGAAGCCATGATCTCTAAAATTGTCTTTTAAAATCCCTCTCTGGTCAAAATACCACAGAGGTATCAATCTGAATCTTAAAAAAAAAAAAAAAAGAAAAAAAAACCTTCTCATGCGCTTGCATTTTCCCAAAGTTTTGTCAATTGATGCTGCTTATAATTATTAAAACAGTTATAAGAAGATAAGAAGCCTCCCTAGAGATAGTGAGTGAAAGATATAAACAGCTGCCTGAGGAGAAAACTAACTAAATTAACTGTTTCAGTAGACATTAATAATTAATCTCACAGCCTCTCTGTGACGGGCGGTGAAACATCTTTCATATATCACGGCCAAATATTATTGGCTAAAACGTTTCTAGGGTAGCGTAGCCTTAAATTGGTGGTACATCTCTGTCAACAACCTGCTGTTAAGCTCCTCAGTTTGCTTAACAGCTTCAAAACATCAAAAGGATTTCTTTTCTGCTTTTTATTGGCAGACATGAGAGTTTTTCCCCACTTGTTCCTTATCTCTGTGGTACTTCCCTTCGGAAAATTTCAGTTCTGCGCAGATGGTATGTTTTAAAGCTTGCATTTGTTTACAAGAAACGTTTGTTTTTCTGCTCTTAATTCTTCAGCTATGCAACTTATTTAAAAAAAAAAAATGGAAACGTACATTTTCCAGGACTAAAATTCTCGTATATAGAGGCTTAACTAACAAGATGGCTACATTGCATAAGTAGTAGAGAGTACTACTTATGCAATGTACTCTCCGGCAGTAGAGAGTACATTGCATAATGTACAATGTACACTCTCGCAGTAGAGAGCACATTAGTACTCTTTCGCAGTAGAGAGCGCTATTACATAAATAGCGCTCTCTACTGCTAGGATCGTGCATCATACGTATCTAATAGCGCAGCTCAAAATATATGAACTTCATATATACATTGTATCTGATTTAACATCACGGGTTTATTACGAATCAACTTAACGGCCTGCTCCCAGTTGGCTTGTTAGCTCAATTGGTAGAGCGCTGCACTAGTATCGCAGAGGTCAGTGGTTCGAATCCCGTACAGGCCTGATTTTTGA